CCACATCGGCTGCCTGGCGACTGATTGGACGACTTCGACGACTGGTGGAGAAGGCGAAGGAGTTGGATCTTTACCATGTGCGAGTCGACCAGTGTGCCTTCGGCTTGAGAGGAGCTGGAGGAGGATTGCATTACAAGCCAACGTCCTTCCTCACTTTGTCCAAGGAGGTTGCTGCAGCTTTGGATGGTTTTCGATGTGCCCGGAACCACCCTCATGAGGCGATCATTGGAGGTGCGAAAGTGACTCGACTTGCAGGACACTATCCACCACTTCTTGCAGAGACTTTGCTTGAAGGCATCGAGCGTGAATGGTCCATGTTGGAGATCAACGTCATTGAAGAGCTTCCTGACGCCAATGGCGAAGGTGGCGATGATGATGCTGACGATGGAGGCGAAGATGGACCTGGTGGACCTTCTAATGAACCTGGTGGTGGAGATGATGGGAACTTCATGCTGGACAACCCGGCGGACCAGGACGAGCAGATCGATGATGTGGTGGTGCCTGGAGATGGGAATCCAACGGCTCGAGATCGCAAGATGGCAAAGCATCTTCATGAAGTGACTGGCCATCGACCACCTCTTCGTTTGGCCCGTGCTCTACTGATCACAGGAGCTGATCCGATGTTGATCAAGGCTGCAAAAGAGCACAAATGTGAGATCTGCCATGAGACCAAGCGTCCTGGAACCAGAAGACCAGCAAGCCTACCTCGAGTCAGGAACTTCAATGACCACCTCTATGCCGACTTGATTTCCGTTCACGACAGCCATGGTGAGACCTACTGGATTGCCCATGCCGTTGATGCCGCTTCCAGGTATCAAGTCGCTAAGGTACTGGAAGAGAAGAGCGGGCTGGAAGTCATCAAGTTCTTCCAGGAGTGCTGGTTCAACACGCTCGGCATTCCCTCGCAGATCACCACGGATCTTGGCCGAGAGTTCACGGCGGCGGTGGTGCAGCACACCATGGACATGCACGACGTGGTCTTGCACCATGTGCCAGTGGGTGCGCCTTGGCAAAACGGCATTGCCGAGAGAGCGGGAGGTTCACTGAAGGCCGTTCTCCGAGCAACAATCCACGAGGCGGTAGCAGCTGGCATGGATGACATGCGAACCGCCCTGGCTTCAGCACTGGAAGCCGTCAACAACGACGTGGATGGCACTGGATTCTCTCCGAGCCAGATGGTGCTGGGACGTCAACCTCGAGTTCTTGGAGAAGCTGGGCCCTCGGACCTTCGCACCAGACTTGCAGCTCACAGCATGGCCCTTGAGACCCCTTCATTTTCCAGGCTGGTGGCCATGCGAGAGGTTGCAAAGCTTGCTATGGTGAGACTACACTACAGCAGAGCGTTGAGAGCAGCCTCAGTTGCCCGAGCTCGTGACCAAGTTGGTTGGGATGGCTTCACGGTTGGTGATGTCGTGTACTTCTTCCGTGAACAGAAGCCCACGAGCAAGAAGATGAAGCTCGTGCAGAGGAGGAGGCTAGAACTGAAGAAATGGCATGGTCCTGGAGTGCTTCTGGCCATTGAAGGCAAGGAGATGCCGAATGCTGCCTACGTTGCTTACGGTGGCAATGTGACCAAAGTGGCCATGGAGCATCTACGTCATGCAAGTTCTCTGGAACGTCTTGTCGCTTCGGACTGGGACGCCATCGTTGAGGATGTCATCAATGCTGTGGAAGACCAACATCCTGATGACCAACAAGAAGGAGATGGACTTGGTGAGGAGAGCTATGAGCCGACAGAGCCGCCGGAGGAGCCCCCAGAAGTTCAGCCTGAGCTTCATGGAGAGACACCAACACCTGCGGTGGTTTATCCTTTCCCTTACCCAGCGATGATGCCAGCTTTGGTGCAGGCAGCACCTTGTTCAAGCTACTCGTCGCTTCCTTCGAGATTGGCATCAAGGAGACAGTCAACTGAGCAGACAGCCCCATTGGCTGGTGTTACAGAAGAGCCGAGTCGAACGCCTGAGCTACCTCGTGATGGACTTCTTGGTGGAGGCCCAGACCCTGGAGGTGGACTTCGTGGCAGTGGCGACCTTCATCCTCTTCTACCTCAGCAAGCTGATGATGGTCGTGACCCTCAGGCCGGACAAGAGCTACCTGTGGAAAATGGGAAGCCTGAAGCTTCAACTGTCACTCAACCTGGCGTTGTTCCTGAAGAGACCCCAGCTGAATATGGTCGCAGGCTTGAACAAGCTCAAGGAGCTGTGAGACGAGCTCTCTCCGAGCCGACAGATGACCGAGAGACCGTTCGAAGAAGGTTGATGGAACCACTTCGACTTGGTGGCAAAGCAATAGATGTTCTTTCTGCAGAGCTGAGACACCCGTTGTTGGAGGCCGTCAACAAAGCCCAGGAAGACATAGAGAATGGCCATCATGGAGAAGATGATCACGGAAGCTGGGATGGCAGATGGACTCGTCCAACAGAGCGACAAGTGAACACAGTTCGCAAACAACAAATGCAGTGGCCTTCCGGATCGAACAGCGACGCAAGAGAAGCCTTAACTACTGCGGCTCAAGGACGAGAACTTCGATGGTCAGAGATGAACGAGGAGACAAGGCAAGAATTCCGTCTTGCAGCGGATGACCAATGGAAGAAATGGCTCGAGAATGAAGCTGTGATGGTGTTAGGCCTTGATGAGTCCCGAGCGGTGGAACAAGAGTTGGAGCGAAAAGGTGAACTTGAGAGGATCATGAATCCAAGGTTCATCCTGGTGGACAAGAACGCCAAGCTCCGCTCTCCTGAGTGCCCGCTCCCGCTGAAGGCAAATGCACGGATCATCGTTCCTGGATTTCGTGACCTTGCCAACCTCAATGGAGAGCTGAGGACAGACTCCCCAACGGCTTCAAGAATAGCTCAACATGTGGTTTGCTGTGTTTGTGCCTGTCATCCAGAATGGTGTCTTCTCAGTGCTGACGTGCGTGCAGCTTTCCTGAAGGGCGACCCCTATGTGCAGAGGCAACTGTACATCAGAGGAACCAACCCGAAGCTCGGCCCGAGCATCGGAATCCCCACTGGGTGTGTGGCCAAGGTCCTCAAGGGCATTTTTGGTCTTGCTGATGCACCTCGTGAGTGGTACCTTCGACTAGCCCGTGAACTTGGAGAGGACAACTGGATTCGGTCAAGTCTTGACCTGGCACTATGGCTCAAGTTCAACGAGAAGAACGAGCTCACAGGCATTTTAGCAGCCCACGTTGACGATCTGTTGATGTCTGGAGACAAGGATGCTGAAGCATCATTGATTCGACTTGGTGAACGGATTGGCTTTGGTTCTATGGACTCCCCGCCATTCAGTTGGTGTGGAAAGACCTTCAGTCGAGAAGCTGATGGCAGAGTGACCTTGACTATGACAAGGTACCATGAGAACCTGACTGGCATGCAGTTGACACGCCAGAGACGAAAGGACGTCTCGAGCTTGCTCAATGCCGCTGAGGTGAAGAAGCTGAAAGGAGTTCTAGGAGCCCTACAGTGGTTGGTGGCGCAACTTCGCTTCGACCTGTCCTTTGCGGTGAGCAGCTTGCAGTCAGAGCGAGCAACGGTTGGAACTGCACTTCGAGTGAACAAAGTGGTGGAAGAGGCAAAACGCCATAAGGACTTCACCTTGCAGTTCAAGGCCGTGGACTACAAGCTTGGCGGCGTCATGGTGGTGACCGATGCAGCTCTTGGCAATGTCAATGCCAGTGGATGCACTGAGGCCACTCCGGCCGAAAAGGTGCACAGCCAGTCCTGCTACGCGGTGCTCCTCGCCGATGAGCAGATGATGCTTGGCAAGCATGGACACTTCAATGTCCTGGACTTTCGCAGCCATCGGTTGCAAAGGGTCTGTCGCAGTTCCTATGCGGCAGAGACGCTGGGATGCGAGGAAGGGCTTGATGCGGCAGAGTTGTGCCGTGGCTTCATCGCCGAGCTCAGAGGCATCGAAGTCGCAAGCCGAACAGGACACCTCAATGTCTGTCAGGTGAACCTCGTTGGAGTCACTGACGCGAAAGACGTCTATGACAGACTCTCCCAAGATGTTGGGTTTGGTGTGCAGAAGAGCCTTGCCTTTAGCCTAGCAGCTCTTCGACAACAACTTCGAAGACCTGGAACTTCCATGAGATGGACGAGCACTGCGAACCTCTTCGTGGACAGTGGCACGAAGATGATGGACAATAGTGCATTGCGTGAGACTTTGCAGAAAGGTGAGTGGTCGATTGAGTACAACGAAAGTTTCACAAAGCAGAAGAAGAAGGAAGCCAAAGTGGCCGACATGGTGGATGACCTACCTGGTCGTGCAGTGGAGGCAAAAGATGAGGCCTTGATGCGCCATGTCTACAAGCTGGCGGAACAGAGTGGATGGCACTACGTTGAAGGTGTCGGGATTCATGTGGCACACAATGCCAAATCCCTGAGGAGTCCACAACCCAGGTACTCCCTGCGGGACTACCCCTACCGGAGTTCCTATGCCAGCTGGAGGACCAAGACCGGCGAAGTGGTGTGGCGAGTGCTGGAAGAGAAGATCGACCTCAAGGACTTGAACAACCAGCAGGAGCAGTTGGCGCACCGATGCCGGCAGCTGGTGACTTTCTACACCGGTCCTCGGGCCACACAAAAATAGAATCCGTGTGAAAGAGCATGGATGGCCCTCGGACATGTTTCACTGTTGTCGCCGCAGGCGCCTTGAGCATCTGGCTTCGAGCCAAACAGTGTGCGAGCGTTCTTTACCCCTTTGTTTAGGTGTAGTTGAACCTCCGCTGTTTAACAAGATTAATATGTTCCATTCACAGTAGCATGCGGGAGGGCTCTTGCAAGAGCCAATGCAGTTATTTGCACACTCAAGTTAGCCTTGTGACACCCAGTGGACCCCAGTTATCGCATTATGTTACCACTATAGATTGAATACATACTACAATAAGGAACCAGGGTTTCTAGGCTTATGGTTTAAGGCTTTTGGAACCACTGTCAGTGGTTGGAACCTCGATCCACTGGCATCACACGCATCATCCGAGCAGATCCGAGCTCCAAGGCACCGCACCGTGCCCGTGCACATCGAAATGTCCTTCCGGGATTCCCCACCGGCCACGTCTCTCGGTCCAACGGCCAACGGCGTTTTTGCTTCGAAAAGCCTCCGGTCAGGACGACGGGTTCACACTCGGCGTACGTCTTGACTTCGAACGGCGTCAGTTGGCCCGGAAAAAGAACGAGGTATGTTTTTTGCGTATAATTACTTACGGCCCAGTGGACCCAGTGGTGTCATTTGCAGAACTGGACTCTTGGATTCAACACTTGGGGGTACTAAATTAAAGGAACCAGTTGACACCAAGAAACCTGGTTCAGGGTGTCTAGCAAAAAAGCATCTTGCCGGTCTAACAAGAAACTGGTCTACTTGGCCTCTCCAACTCTGGAAATGAAGGCAGTCCATTTGTCTCTTCTCGACGACCTTCCCGGGAAGTCCAACCGCGGACCTCTCGACGACCGACGTCCAGGCAGCTGTTCTACGCCCAGCGCGTGGATCAATGGCGTGGTGGGGAGACCCCCTTGACGGACTTCCACCAGGTCTGGGAGCAACTGAGAAACGACCGGCGCGTTGGGCCCCACTTCGAACAGCAGAAGGCGGGTAGACTGGATGGGAGGATGGGACGATAGGACTGGAGCGATGGAGAAACTGGAGGGTCCGGACTGCCAGCACATTCGGTTAACTATATAATAGTTTTGTGTAAAGCGTATAAAGCTTGAAGGGAGAGAAACGGAAAGGATACGAAGATATGTCGTTTTGATGGTTGGCTTTCCAATCAAAACCTACCCAGATTAGGAGCTGCTGGTGGGAATGCGTGATTTTTGTGTTGGACCCGAATCAAAATACCTTGCATATGTTGAGTCCACGGGATCAAAGGGATGTGGAGGACAATCAATGAATCAATCTCATGTAAAACAAGACAGTGGATTCAGGGTACGAACCCCATGCACTAAGACTACTTATCGAGATCAGGGACCAAGGTCGCCAAACTGTCTTTGTGCCATTTGAAGAATTTGAGAACATAAGCCCACCGGTAATTTGATAATTTGAAGAGGTTGGTCAACTCAAATGGAAGTGGGTTAGTAATCAAGAGTCTATACATGATTATGGGCCTTCTTTAAGTTCAAACATGTCCGCCAGACTAGGACGGCCATGTCAACCTTGCCGTTCGAGGACATGGTCCTCCTCAACCGGTGTTGTTATAGCCTAGAGCCTATGGACATAGACTAACAAGCCCGTTGGTGAAACATGCCCCACTTTCGGCCCATCAGTTGGGACATGACATGACAGGACCGTGCAACATATCCATAAAACACAGCCAAACCCAACAGTTTTCGTGGTTTTGGAGGCCATCGCTATTAGGTTGGAGGCCGTTGCTATTAGGTTGTCGCTATTGGGTTTGGAGGCCATCGCTATTAGGTTTGAGGCCATCGCTATTTGTTTTGGAGGCCATCGCTATTAGGTTTGAGACCAT